GTACCATTGGAGAGAACCAACTAGTTCTTGAATCTGAGGTCACCGTTTTTGAGAAGATGGTGAGTCTATAGTAAAATTCTTATGCTATGAAAAAATTTACTATGGAAGAATTGAAATGTTTTTTACTAATGCGATTCAAAAGAAGCGTTCAAAGATATTTCCTATCAATTTATCAACTCCATTTGTTTCTGTTAAGCAGGAGCAGCCGATGTTGAACCAAATCAACACGGAAATGCCTGAGCCAGGGGCAGAAAGCATTTCCTCACCTATACATACATGAACCCAGTCCAGCTCTCTGGGAATTTTTCCTTGTCAGCAGGAGTGAACGAAAAAACAATCAATGACAATTCCGGAATGTCAACCCATAGACTAATGCGATGAATCTCGCCTCTACGAGTTTCTTCACCCTTGGGCCGTCAACCTCGGGGCCAGGTACAAAAATCTGCCTACTCATCCAAAAGTTGCCAACACAAAGTAAAATCAACGCTTAAACCAACTCACCGTACCAACTCGAATCCCGCAAAAGGGTGTAGGAGTAACGAAGATTACTGGAGATAGAAGTGCTCAACCATTTCCGCGAACCCGGAAGTAAACAATGTAGTTTGGGAGCATTGACGGCGGTGGAAACATGAACCAGCGCCTAGAATAGCGTGATCAATCAATTACCTACGATTATTCTTTGGTCAACTTCACTGACAAAAAAATGAAAACAAATAAAGAATTAAACTCAATATAAAACGCTTTATTTTAGACAGCCTGGGTTGCTGGTGGTACTGTGTCAAGCTATTTTTACAATGCCTTCTTTTCTGTCTGGAATGGGGGAATGAAGGATGATTTCCTTACTCTTGCCAATAAGTATAAGGGCTATGAATTATGGGTGAGTTTTCGATCAACAAAATGGAACCCTTTATTCCATTTCATCTCACAACAATTTACTGTAGCCATCCACGCACGCAATCGCACAAGACTACAATCTCGTCTAAACCCCTCTTTATTTAAAATAGTTTCGTACAACCCCTGAATGCAGTTAGTCTGTGGAAGCCTTATATTTTGTGGATTATGCGGCCCCAATCGCTTTCTTCGCCTACAATGCGCTGTTCTCAACTTTGGTAGTCTTAAAAGGTCTTATCTTGAAAAGGGTACCAAAACTGATCGTGAGCTGTGCCTTCAAGAATACTCATGCGATGATTTCCTTGCAGATTGTTGGCCATTCCCTCGGCGGAGCTATGGCATCACTGGCTGCGTCATACATTGAAAAAGTGAAGTTGTACGATGGGAACCTGATCAAATTGGTGACTTTTGGTCAGCCAAGAACTGGCGATGATGTCTTTGCAAAAGCACATGATGCTCAGGTACGCAATACCATCTTTCGGGACCCAGATCATTGAAATACGAGCTGAATGGGGGTAAAAAATAAACGAGAGCCAATGATACAGTGAGGAGGGGTCCGAGATGAGACACGTTCACATTAATGACCGCCACTTCTTCCACGTACTGGACCGATTTTTTGCCAACCGGAGATCTTGTTCTGAGCCAGTAAGGGACTACTGGATCATCGATCGATATTGGTTTTCAATAAATGATCACTGCATAATGCCACAAATCTACTTGTGCAATTACAGATTCCATATTCATTTCGTATCGTTCATGGTCACGACAATATTCCACACAACCCGCTTAACGGATTCCGCCATTACAGGCATCACAAATCAGAGGTACGTCACTTCTTCAAACTTTTCTTCTGATCTTGACATTTGCTTTCTCCGGAGATCCCTCGGGGATCTGATTAAAAAAGCTCCGGTTAGGCTCCTTCAGCTCTTTCGAATAACAAAGAGTCAATCCTTTCAAAAGCTGAAGCCATACTGGGGACGTATATTGAGCATAACCGTCGCCAGGAAGGGTCGTGCGATCCTGAGAACGGGCTACTAGTTTATTTTACGCTAGAGTGATTACCATAGACTCTTTATTCAATGTAGGCGCTGGTGTTACCAGGAATACGCCGCTTTCCTAACATAACCAACAGCGAGTGCAGATTCTATCTCATGGAGATTGTGAACTCCAATACCCTTAGAGCAGAATAATCTTCAAAGCACATGATGCACGGGCCCACTTCTTCCGAGTGTGTTCGTTTTCCGATTCACGAATGGTAGTTATTCGTTACAGAATTCCGGAGTTAGGTTTACTCAGAGAAGAAGAGCCTCTTCAGCAAAGATACACGATTGAGTATTACCTCTCGGACGCGGCTTGTAATCGAATTGCAGCTCAAATAGTGAGCCGTTCCCACACATACTTCGTCTACACTGCGAAAGTTGTGA